GGACACTAACCTGAGGAGAATCGGGCGACACGTTGTCGAGTACGGGGATGGTGCGGGCGTTCTTGAGCAGCTGGAGCACGTCTGTGATCTTGGTGTCGTGGTGACCGGCGGGACTCATGTAGACGGAGAGTGGCGGCTGGTGGGGCGCGGGCGTGGTGGGTGCCGGGGACGGCGTGGGCGCCGGGGACGGGCTAGGCGTCTGTTGCACGAACGAGAACTGATGGTTGGAAGCGGGCGGTGCGGGCGTGGACGAGGGCAGTGCGAAGCGGTGAGGCGCATGCTGGAACTGCGGGAACTGTTGCGGCTGCTGCTGCTGCGGCTGGTGGAACTGCTGGAACTGCTGCGGGAACTGCTGGAAGTGGTGGTGGTGCGGCTGGAACTGCGGTGGGGGTTGCGCGTCCCGGAACGACTGGGCCGAGAAGGGCTGTCGCTGGAACTGCTGCTGGGGGAACTGCTGCTGGAACTGCTGGTGCGGCTGCTGGAACTGGGGCTGGGGCTGCTGCTGGAACGGGTTGGTGGGGTGGTTGAGCGAGAGGCTGAACTGTCCGCTGGGGTTCTGCGGGTGGAACTGCAGCACGTGGGACTGGGCGCGTGGTTGGTGCGACGGGTTGGCCTGCTGCGAGAACTGCGCTGAGGCCTGGGGCTGCTGCTGAGGCTGCGGCAGAAACCGCTGCTGTTGCTGTTGTTGCTGCTGTTGCTGTTGTTGCTGTTGCTGTTGCTGCTGCTGCTGCTGCTGCTGCTGCTGCTGCTGCTGGCCGAGCTGGCCACGCTGCCGGAGGGTCTCCACGGGCACGTACAAGAGCTGGACCTGGTGAACAGAAATTAAGTTTTCAGAAGAGAAAATGATGTGACGACAAGTTAACTTGAATGGGACTGTTGACTGTTGAACGGTTGGGCTGGAGCGCCCGTGTGCGGCACGCCCGCCCGGCAGGCTTGCCCGTTGGGTGGCCTAGCCTCCGGACCGCAGGGGCGCGGACCCAGCGGTGGCGGCCAGCGGGCTCTTTT